ATGGGAATCGAGAGGACGCAAAAACTCTGGATCTCCCGACCTCGATTTCTTTTAGGGTCGAAACAACGACCTCTGCAAGCAGTTTTTGTTGAACACACACACACACATTTGCTGGATGTGAAGCTTAAGTGTTTCAGTTTTTTCTACGGTCATGAAACACCCGTGAGTTGCTGATTGGTAGCTTGATGTTTTTGTATGGGTTTGTGGGTTCAATTCCCAAAGTTGTATTCTATTTCTTGCTTTGTTGTCTACCTAAAAAACCAGCTACTATAGCATCTACCGCATAAAACTTCCGTGGCGTGGGGTTTTGCCTGGCCGCGTGGTGTGTCCAACCGGCCTTGCGGAGGGCACAACAGCATCTGAATCAGAATCCCCTTTTGGTCTGAGGAACCCGATTCTTCCATTCCTTTGGTGACCGGTCTTGCTTGAACCCTCGGGTCAGCGGCCCCGGGTGGCCCTGGGTGCATGGTCAGTTGCCCGGTATGAGGCCATGACGCTCTTCAAGGAGCAAGGGGACGACCCTTCGGCCGAGGAGATGCGGAGCCTCTTTGCGCGGGTGCCGGTTCCGCGTGTCGACGGGGTCGCGCGAAGTGCGGGGGGGCCGCGTGCGCGTGTAGTGCGAGGGTATGAATTCATATTGGGCGTTCTCAAGACTCAGTCTCTTGCTGTGCCCCATCCTATAACTTAAAGCCGTTGGCACAGAATCCTGGAACGACACGAAACCAATCCGCATCACAGCCCACGGAGTATGACAATTTTCAATCAAGCGAGACGAACCACCATCACCACAGCATGCAGGGACCTTAAGTCACCGTGCTCCGTGCTCGCTGAGTCGCTTGCGGTCGCTCTCCCTCTCCAGGCGCAGGCCTTGCGCTCCAGCATGCAGGAAGCCGCACAAGAAGCGCGGCAGGCAGGTGGACTCATGGCTCTTGAACCCACAGCTGAAGCACCGTTTGGGGACCTTGGGACCTTCGACCGTTGCACCCCAGAGCATCGATTAGATGGAAGATGATGGAAGATGATGATGGAAGAGTTCATTCACGACTTTTGCTGCAGCAGATGGATACCTGGATGCCCCCCGATGCTTGCCTGTTCCATTCGATGAGATGGATCGGTGAGGCGTGGCTCCTCTACCGCGAGCACGGCCACTTGAAGTGTTCGACGGATCAAGCGGGCGGATGAAGCGTGCACGGTGCCGTGCCACGTCGTTTTTCTTTCCTCTTTTCTGTGGCATGGGTGGAGGACTGGAGGAGGGGCATGCCCTGCATCCGAAATCGGAGTCCGACCCGTTTTGGTGCTCCATACCCGAGCTCTCCAGGGAGGTCCCGAGTTCGACGTCCCTCACTTTCGCTTCGGATCGAGCGATTCGCCCAGCGATTGGGTCGATTTGTGGAGGTTTTGAGTGATTTTCACGGTTCTTTTCACCAACACACCCAACCACGAGATGCCACCATGGCCTGTTTTCCAGGGATGATTTCGATTGACCCATGGTGGCCTCCGGTGGCCTCCCATCCCAAAGTGGCAGCTGGTTGCCGTCGGCAGCAGGTTGCCGGACCGTGTTCCCCACGGTCCCCGACTTCTCTGCTGCTGGGTATTGTGAAGCAGCATGAAGCAGCCTGAATTGGCCTAAATATCCCAAAGTGTTTGTCTCAACGAAGTCATTAACGAATGTTGTCTAAATGTTCAAGCCTTGTGCACAAAACAAGTTCGTTTAAGAATGTATAAGAACAGTAGTTTTGACTTCCTGACTACTACCCTTCTGGCCATTTGCATAGACATGATTAGACATGGGAAATGGCCACCTTGATCCACTTTGTGATACTTTGTAAAGGGACTGGTGCATGGTCGTCGATTTCCGGAGGAAGTCCTCCATTCAGGTTGACATCGATACATACTTTGGCTACCCTTTGGCTACTCGACATGTTACTGTATTGCCCCTGAAAGAGCATCGACTTGAGAGGACAGCTCTTCCATCCTGACAGCTCTTCCATTCTGATGGAACATTCCGCAGGTCGCGCCAAGGCGAGGTGTGAGATGTCAACATCTCCTTGCGTACAACCAAGTTGGGGGAACCGACTCAAACCCCGACCTCGGACGAAAGAACCTGACTCACGGTGCGACGCTGCTAAAACCCTTCATCCATCCACCTTCTCACTAGGAATTCGAGTACTCTTCACGTCAAAGAGGAGTCTCAAAAAATGTTCAAACCCTGTCTCAAAGGTCTCGAAGTGTCTGGACTTAGAACGTGTCGATCCGTCTTTGGTTTTCGGGACGATCACCCAGCGGTCCGGGGTGACGACGGTGACGAGGAAGGCGTTCTGAGCAGCGTCACGAGCAGGGAACATCGTCTTTGGTCGCGGAGCTTGCTCCACTCCATGCTTGGTTGGAGGTGGAGGTGGGCGGAAGTACCTCTGTGTAGGACCCTAAGATCTTCTCTAGATTCTGAGTTCCCAAGCATCAAACCAGCCTCCTCCGCTCGGTCAAAGCCGTCCCTCGCCTCTCAGGTGACGCACGACTACTCTTCCAAGCGGCGAAGAATTGTTGGGATGCCCAAATGCAGACACCGCTGCCTATCAAGAATCCAGCCATTCCGAGAAGCGCGATGTTTTGGGGCAGCTTCTCCTGGGCATCCGGTCCATCCTGGTGCTGAAAAAGGGGACTCTATACGGACCCCCCTGACCCACCCCCACATCGACAAACTACCCTGGTGGACCCGTGGATCGGGTATGATGGGGTGATGTTTTCACTATCCCCTATGGGTTTATGATAACTTTGTTTTATCTTGTGTGTCTTCATGTGTATTCTGTATTCTTTGATTTTCTTTTTCACGGGTTCCCAACTGGCAAGATGCCCACTTGCCACGTGTTGTCATCCTTCCGAACTCCGCGCCTGCGCTTCCGAACTTGGCTCGCGCGCCACACACCAGGCCACGACGCACACCACAAGTTCGATGACCAGAATGTTTTGTTGTTGGAGAAGTTGTGATGTGGCCACTTGGTGCATGGAGAAGCGCATGGAGAAGTTGGTGCGTTGGACTGCGAACAGGGGAACAAGCCAACCACCCGCAGTTGCCAATGGATGGCCTGCAGTTGTTCGGGTGGTGTGCGTGTTGGGAGCCTGTGATGGTTGTTTGGCTTTGTTTTTCCAGGGAGGTGCCCATTGAAGAGTCTGAGAATATTGTTCTTTGTTTTCCTATAGTGGAATCCTTTTCCTGGTTCTCGTTTTGTAGCTGTTGTTGGTTTGTTTTTCTGCTTTGAAGCCTACTTCATGTACAACCTATACAAGTTCTTTTTTTGCATAGTCCCTTGTAGTTGCTAGCAGGTGGTGTGCAGCCAAATTTGTTCAAGAAAGTTGCGTTTGCATTGGCAGGGCCACAGAAAACTGTAGGTGGATCCATGGGGGGGTGTCCTGACAAGAAACAACTTGTTCCTAGTAGCTTATTGTTTCTAAATAGCTTCTTGTTACTACTAGTAAGGCACTTGTTACTAGAAGCGATGCACTTGTTCCTAGTAGCTTATTATAGTGCTTATTGTTTCTAAATGTATATAATATATATACTCCCGAAAACTAACATGGAACTTGAGAATTGACCGGTGGAAGACCATTTTCTTCTACAAACCAGTGATTTTCAGGGTCCATGTGAGTTTTCAACGGTGTATAGTTATATACCTAGAACCTGAAGGACCTATTTTTGACCACCAACCCCCAAACTATGGTCTCCTCCTATCAAACCAGAGGTCAAGTTGCGTTCTAGGTATATACACATGTGCATACATATTTCATTTTGTGCTTTTGCACAGGCAGGCACTTATTTACTGAAACATCATCCGAAGGGCTTTTCTGGACTGGCAAGTGAACTGGTGGGTTACCTGCTTCCAAGGTCCAGGCCTCGCATGGATCTCCTCGCCGCAGAAAACAATACACGTCACCGGGCGAAGTACCGGGCGATTTCGGGTGCTGTGGAGGGCCGGGACCGATCGGGTCTCCTATCGGGTCTCATGAGTATATAGAAGCGCCTGAGAATCAGGCGTTGGTGCACAGCAGATAGAATATATAGTATCCTTACATATCCTTACCTCGCATGATGCAATGGAGTTGTCAATGAGCAGAAGGCAGCAGACACTGGAGAACGGAAGGGTTTAGTTGTATTTGTGGACCCAACCGAGGAAAGGACATGTACCACAGGTTTGAGTTGGTTTGAGTAACAAGGGTTGGAAAAACCAATCAGAAGAGTTTGCAAGCAACTTTTCAGAACTGTGGCCTTGGGGCAACCAGGCGCAATCGTCCAAGTGGCATGGTTTTGGGGACTCTAGGACCAGTGGATTGCCAGTAGAGACCAGCTTGCTTGTGGTTACTGTATTTTCTGTTGCTTTTTGTGTATGCTACGTGGTGCCAGATGTCATTTGTTATACCACATGCCACACAGTGCCAGACGCTCCGAGACGCCTGCTCCTCGCCCGCGCGCGCCCTTATTTGGCCCACGAATGGGTGACTGGGTGCGTAACCAAGAGCAGGTGTAACGGTTAGAGCCGTGGGCCGTGGGGCAGGTAGATGATGGTCCAAGTTCCATCAGTTCTTTTTTTCAGTCATTGGTGCGATATGGCCAAACTGTTGCCGGAGATTCTTCTCACCAAATCATAAGTGTTCAATTGGAGAATACTGTACCATGTTCAAGTGCATCTTCAAGTTTGGCACGCATTGGCAGGCTGCGATTCCAGTGCACGCTGTGCAGAGATCCCAGAACAAAGCTAGAAGTCAGATCCATTGATAAACCAAACCAATCCAGACCGAGCTGTTGCCCACAGACAGGGTTTTTTCACCTCGTTGAACTGTACGAACGATATTCAACTTGCTTTGGTTGAACATTGGCACGATCAACCGACTGTTGGACATCGCCCAAGGCCTCCAAGGCCACGATTTTCCAGTACCGAGTCAACTGGAGACGGTTCACAGCTCCATTCAACTTTCTTGCGGTTTGCTTTTATTTTTCTTCTGTGCCCATGGCATCGACTAGTACTCCAGAAGAGGCCCGAGTCGCATCGTGAGAGCATTTTTCTATGGTTTGTTTTTGTTCCTCAACTTTTGCAATATATATATATATATTGTAGTATATATATAATATCGATATATATATATATTATGTGTTACACCAATGGCAACAAAGTAAAGAAGACAGACCCACAGGTCGTCAGACCCCCCCCGGTGCATTCTTTCTTTAAAGTCTTTAAAGCAAGAGGTTTGGGTCTCGTCTTGAGGTTTTTGGCGACTCGGGGCATCTCAGGGGCACCGGTTGTATCAAACCCTCCCCGACCCAAATTGCCAAAGGCTCAGTCTCTCCCCAGAAGTGACTGCGGCAGAGCCGATGTTCAGCCACCGTTCCGTTTTTGGTTGGGCGACGCGTTTCCTCGGCTTTAACCCAACGAAAACCACATAAACACATCAGACAGGAGCCCCATGTCATCACTCTCCCGGGGTCTTAGATCTCAAACTGGGCAGCCCAACCCGAACCGAGAGGGGTCGGCCGTCCAGGCGGCTTCGACCGAGGTGGGGACGGGTGGGGACGCTGGGCTCAGCTCACTGCTGAGATCCCCTGGTCTTGGAGATGGGGAACATGTTGAACATGCACCGGGCTGGACAGAACTGCATGACTTAGTACGATCTTGTGCGCTCACTTCGCAAGTTCCTCAAGATTGAGGTGCCTCAGACGCAAGTTCTTGTCATGATCTTGCTCCTTTCCAGCGCCATGTACTCGCCCCTTGTCCTTCCAATTCCCACTCAATCAGAAAGCGACTAACAGGATCACGAAGAATATCTAAATCAAAACAACGCATACGGTTCCAAGCGTATACGGTTCCAACCACCATTGATTTATGCAATCTTACTAATGTCAATTTGTTTGCCGGACTGCCGGACAACAAATTTATAAGGATTTTACACGTAGACTACTTGGACAAGTATAGGGCCTGTAGTTGCCTATTAGAGGCTCCTGGTGTTGTTTGGTTTGCGGCTTCCTTTCCTCCTCTTGGTTTTCCGTGGAGGGACATGCCATATGTCAGAAATGGTTCCAACCACCGGCGGCGGCGGGTCCACTGGCAGGAACACATGGTTCGCCTTTCTCTCATGTTCGGCTCATCCCACCAGTCGCCGACTTGAACTTTCGGGGATTCTGGACTTCGGGGCGCGAGTTCCGCCGTTAGCGACGCACGACATGGAGCGGTGACCCCGCAGCCCTGATCTTCTTTTGGGGGGATCCAGACCCAGAGACCTACCAAGAAGCCCTGGAGTCCAAGATAGTCCTAGCTGGGCGCGTGAGGTCGTGAAGACACCAGAGAAGGCGAGCTCGGGTAGGACTCGATTCTGGGATAACTGTGTACTTGTGCTCTGATTGAGATGTACATTACTGACAACCTGGTGCAGGATGCCCATAGGCTATCCAACGAGTGTCGCATCAAAAGGAGTTGTTGATGCAGTTGTGATGCAGCCGCGACGCAGGTGTGATGGCAATGTGGCAGTTTCTTTAAGATCCGCTGACGTAATCCGGTTCCGAGCCGTTTGAGGTAGTAGAGGAAGACTCAATTCTTAAATTGCAACATGTGGGTTCCTGGGTCTGAATTGTGTGATCCATTATATATATATAAATGTCTAAAGTCTAAAGACCTATAAAGACTCTCTCATGTGTAAAACCTCTAAGCAAAAATCAGTTGTGATGGCCATCAGTCATGAGAACAAGCTTTGGTTTTGCTACTCCAAACCAGACATCAAATAAGTCACAAGTCGCTTGATCAGCCAGAAAGATCCATTTGGGGGTGAAATCTCATCTCACAGTCGGAACTCTTGATCTCAAAGGTTGCTTTTCTTTTTTTCGGGTTTGGACGAAAAGCATTTGGAGCGTCCACTGTTGAGTTGGGACACTCAGATCCACTGGGAGCCCGAGATGTCCGACGGGATGAAAAGGGACCCATTTTAGGAGCTGGGATGCATGGGAGGAAGGTCCATCATCGCAACGGATTTTTCAGGTGAGGAAACACACTTCCATGGGGGCCCGGGCCCTTTTTTGGGCAGTTCAAGGAGCCGGTCCACTTGGACCGCGCTTCGGAGCCTCGACCGTCGACGCGTGAGCTGCACTGCCGTCCTCCGCAGCTCTCAGCTCAGCCGATTGACGACTTCACCGGCGACTTCGCCCGAGACCATCGCAGCCATGGCACCCGCAGAGATCGAGACCATCGTGGAGAACGAGCACGGCAGCGCCTTCGAGGTCGGAGCTCCATGTGTTGATGGAGCGCGAGCTGGAGGTTTGGTGGAGGTAGCGGTTTGATGTTGAACGAAGTCCGAGGATGTTCCATTTGGGATCTTTCACAAGAGCCTTTTCTATTAATCTTTTGATCTTCGCCTGGATCACCGCCAAGGGGACGCGTCTTGATCAATGCATGTCCAGCTGTGTTCTGACAGACCTGTACTGCCAGTAGGCCACAGAAACGTCTCATGTCCATTCAGGTTGGCCAGGACCGTCCAAGACATCATTCGGTCCGGCCGGTGCATCCAACCAAATCCTGGTTCTTCACACCTCTATCTATGGGGGCTCCGACAGCGGGTCGTAGAAGGGTGGAAGGGCCGGCCCGGATGGTCCAAATCGATATTTTGTCTAGATCATAATACTGTAAATGGTTAAGATTGTTCAGGGTGAGTTCGGTGGTGCGCGATTAGTGCTTTGTTCAACCTCTTGAGACTATAGATGTGCCCCCCTCCGAGGTGCGCCCTCAGTCTGGCTCGCCCAAAGCACTCGGATCCCGGCAGTTCTTCGGCCTCAGCGGTGTCCGGTCGGCTCTGGACCTGCCGAGAACCTCCGCGCGCGGGGACCGAACGGCCGCTCGTTCCCTTCGAGCAGGTGCAGATCAAATCGCCGGGTGCGGACAAGACGCCTGGAGGATGTAAAGGGCGAGACGGGAGACCGGTGTGTTTGAACCAAAGAACCATCCTCCCGTCGGCCAGGGCGCCAGGCCGCAAGGCTGCATGTCCAACGGACCCCTCCATGGCGGTTTTCGGGCGGGGACGGCTGTTTTGTGGGCTGGAGAGAGTTTGTGTTGATCGCCGGGTGGATCGAGATGGAACGTGGGAGGGTTCAGAAAGCTGTGAGAGAATCCACCGAAACGCTTTGCAAGAAGAGAAGGAGATGAACACCATTGAACATATTGAACGGGTCCTGTCCATTTGAGACAAACCTGCTCTCTTGGTGCCGTGCTGTGGCACATGGAGGGTGCGTGGTTCATGGCATCATGGTGACATTGCACGAAGAGCTCTTTTCGACGACTCTGGGAATCGAAGTTGAGATCCTTCGAAGAACAGAATCTTAAGTTGAATTCTCTCTCTACCCTGGGAGTCCAAAAGCCATCTTTAAAACGTGATCTTTAGGTGACCAAAGAGGGTCGGGTGTGAAACACCCAAACAAATCGGACGTCGTCGCCATGGTGGACGTCGGACCGGACAACAGATCCGTCCGGTCGACCGAGGCTGAGGACGGCCGCCCGCCTGCGCCTGGAGTCCTACGAGAAGAAGCCGCTGCCCACGTTGCTGGGCTCCAAGGGTCCGGCGGTGCCGCTCTGCGAGCAGCGCGCCGATAAGGCGACCAGTCAAGGGGCAAGGAGGGGGTCGAATGTGGAGTGGTCAGGACTGTGGTCATGCTTATTCCTTGTTGTTGGATTTGAAGATCTTGAGGCGGCTTTAACGAGCGCCTGATTCTTTCCATAGAGTAAACTGCTATCGTCATTGCGGACATCAGCACGGAAACCAGAGCCCCCCAAAAATCCGGAAATTGTGAAGAGATCACATGATGACTTCACTTTTTTCCACAACCTTCAAAAACGACTGCACCCACACTGGCCTTTTGCAGCAGACTCTCACTGCTTTGGTCCTGGGTCACTTCTAACTCAACAGACTTTACACACTTTATACTCTCAAACTTTGTGCATAAATGGTCATACATGCGCACAACTACACATAACTACACTATATATAGACTAAAGACTAAAGATGCCCGCATAGGTAATTTGAAAGAATGCAAACTAAACACAGCCAGTGCATTCCATGCGTCCGTTCCACCATGCGTTTGAAGAACATGCCAGGCTCGCCAGCAGAACGAGCAGAAGAAGGTGTGACATCGGCAAGCTGAACGACTTCTGGGGGTAGAAGTGGAGGTTCTGCGGTTCATGAAAGGCGTTCCATGACAGAGATCACCTGCAGGCACAACAGGAAACCACTGCGAAAGTGGTGGTCACCAGCATTTGACCTCCAAGTGATGCATCCGGGGGACAAGTCATGCACATGGGATAATGAGTTCATGGAACTGTGCCTTGCACAGAAAGCCTTTCTGGCCTTCGAAGACAAGGGCTGCCCTATAGTTTGGTAGTCTATAGATGTCTATAGAGTCTGTCTAGAGTCTAGAATCCTTTGTCAACAATGAGATTGTTCACCATTGAATCACGCGATTGAAATCATTTGAAATCCTATCAGCATGATCTGCAAGAGTTGGTAGGTGAGAAGCCAGCGACGCGACTTATGGATTTGTAAGGTGCTTGGAGAAGGTCTGTAGTTTGCAAGAATTTGTCTTGACCTGAGATTTGGGGGCATGTAATGTACCACCAATCGCAGAGGCATGTGAACCTTCCAACAACACCGAACCATGCTATATTACAGTGGAAACGAAGTTGTATTGTTAGATCACCAAAGAGCTAGTGCAATACACCAAACGAACCTCAATGGACGAAAGCTCCGAAGACATCTGCCACGAAACTAAACTATATATTGAATATGTTCCTTTTCTGACTGTAAGTGAGAACTTCAACACGATTGGGGATCCGGGATCCAGGTACAATTATACCGGGCATGCTCGAACCTGTTTAATGAGTGTGATGCGGCTCGCGTGGCGATTATAAACACGCGGCTCGCCGCGTTGGGGCGCGGTCTCCGCTGCTTTCAACAAACACCAGGAGACGGCCGAACGTGTGCGCCTGGAATTCCAGCCTCTGGGCGCACAGTATAGAGAGATGGTTTGAGGAAAAGGTGTAGCTGGACCAACTTGAAAGTGGTAACGATTGCAGCAGGAGCAGGATGAAGATGAGGAGCACAGGAGTAGGAGGAGGAGGAGGAGCAGCAGCAGCAGCAGGAGTAGTAGCAGGAGGAGCAGTAGCAGAAGCAGTAGCAGTCGCCGTCGTTTGCTGGCACATCCTTAGAGTATTGGCTTATGACTCATGAGGTGATGCATTCAAGATCACTCAAGTTTGGATTCTACCAGGGCAGTCACCGAAGATTGGGAACTCTTTCTTTTGTTGGCTTGCTGTCAAGGTCCCTCAGCAGCTGTCTTTAAGTGTGCCAGGATCCGGTCTCAGATGTCAAAGTCTCGACGCAAAAAGCACACCCAGTGCCTGCCAGCCTTGGGATTCTTCTGTTTTTTCCCGCCCGCCCGCGCGCGTGGTGTGGAAACAGCGATCTCCAAGGAGCACGGCGGACGCGAAGCGTCAAGAGATGGCGCAGCAACTGGAGAAGGCAGATGGACTGCGCCAAGGCGGGGGGGAAGCAGTGGAACGGGATGGTGCGGGTGTGGAAGGTGATGTACAATGTATTCTGGTGATTAATAAACCTGACCTGTATGAACTAAGGTCTAAAAGGTGGAGGTGGTTATATTCATCAACAGTCGAAAAGTGGGTTTCCTAGAGAGGTTGAACAGCCCTGTGGCCTATTCCAGAGGTTTGTCCAGCCAATTCTGAGAGAGGTTGATTCAACAGCTCGGCTGACTGTCATGGTGCAGACCGGACCTCCAGAAAATCTGCAGACATCGGATGCCACACAAAGCTGGACTCCCAGAATCCTGCGGGCTTTTAATGATCACGTACCGTTTCAGGGACTTCTTTTGCTTGTATGATGGTCTAGTGATCTTCGTGCGATTTGTTTCAGTTCTTTGAGGAGAGCGGCGTGTCGTGTTTCAGTGTGATTCGCAATGTGTGTGTGTGGATCTTCAGATGGAGTCCAGGAAAATGCGACATGCAGACACGCAGACACACGCACACAGAGATCGGTGTACAGACGGTGTACATACGATTTGAATGCCACAAACCCTCAAGAAACCTCTTTAAAAAGGAACCCAGTCGGACATCTAAAACTGCTCAAGACACTGTCGATGAAGAGAAATGGAAGGGTACAACATGTCCGCAAGCTGGGTTCTCGGCTTAGCCCAGTCACCATAACAGTAGAGTTAAGAGGTACGTCTATATGTCTAAGGATGTCTAAGGTGTCCCTTTTAGATATCACGACCATACCATGACAGTCTTCATTGGCAGTGAG